TAAGGATGGGTAAAGAGGAAAACATTGAGATCATTTATCTATTCTTTGCCGACGACATACTAGTTTTCTGCCAACCTGATGTTAATATGCTACTTAATCTTAAATGTATTTTTCTCTGTTTCTAAGCTGTTTCGGAGTTAAAGATCAACATGTCAAAGTATGAGATGGTGGGTTTTGGAATTAACAACATTGTAGAACCTTTTGCGTCGGTTTTAAAGTGCAAATCAGCAATGTTTCCCATCAAATAGGTCCCTCTTGTAGCGAAACATAAAGATTCAAAAAGTTGGGAGCCAATAATTGATATTTTTGATAAATGTCTTGCTGGTTGGAAAAGAAATTACTTGTCTAAGGGAGGGAGATTGACTTTGATCAAAAACACATTATCAAACCTCCCAACATACTATCGTTCTGTCCTCACCATCCCTACAAAGGTTGCCAAAATCCTTGAAAGTATACAATGCAGATTCCTATGGGAAGATGAGGAAAATAAGAAAAAATTTCATCTCATAAATTGGGAAGAGGTGAAAACTCCCATCAGTTCTGGTGGCTTTGGTTTGAGATCCTTAAAAACTTTAAATAAAGCCTTACATGGTAAATGTGTGTGGAGATATTGGAATGAATCAAACAGTTTGTGGAAAAAAGTTGTTGACTGCAAATGGAACATGAAGGGATGCCTAAATCAGAAGTTGGTAAACCATAGTAACTATGATGTGAGTCTTTGGAAGAGTATCTCTAAAGTGGGCAATGAAGCTATGCACTGCTCTAAATGGGAGGTGGGCAATGGTAAAAAAATAATTTTGGTCGGATATTTGGTGCGAAAACAATAATCTGCAATCCCATTTCCCCCAAATTTATGCTTTATCCAAGCACAAACTAATGAGAATTGAACAAGCGTTTGATAACAGTACTGGCAGAAGCTGGAATATTGTATTGCACATAAATTTGAAGGATTGGGAACTTGAGGAGTTTGAAAATTTGATGGCTTTGCTGGAATCTACAAGAATTAGCAATAGAGAAGACAAGCTGATGTGGACTTTGAATAAAAGTGGATCATTTAGCATCAAATCCTTCTATAACCACATTGTTGGTATACTGTTTTGGGTCTGCTGGGATTAAGTTGGGTTATGACTGAAAATGTGAGTAAAGAGTTGTGGGCGTGGACAGGGTATTGTAAGAAGAAAAAACATTTGTTCCTTATTTCACTAACTATTTTTTAGGTTGTGTGGAAGGAAAAAAATGTAAGAGCTTTTGAGAGTATAGAGACTAATATTACAAAAATTAATAATAAGTGGATCTATTCTTTTGGTTCTATTTTGTTAGGTCATGATATCATAGATTGGGATGATTATAGTTAGGTCATGGACCATTTAATAGACTTGTAATATATACTTTGTACATGGACGGTACCCCCTTGGTACCTTTGTGAATAACCCCCTTGGTACCTTTGTGAATAATATTTCTTGTCTGATATTAAAAAAAAAAAAATAACCACATTGCTGGCCAAAATAACAAGATCAAACAGATGTACCCAGCAAAAATGATATGGAAGGCAAATGCACCTCCTAAAATCTCTTTCTTTATTTGGGAAGCTTCCAAAAATCGTATACTTACCATAAATAATCTCATGAAAAGAGGTATTATCCTAACAAACAGATGTACCCAGCAAAAATGATATGGAAGGCAAATGCACCTCCTAAAATCTCTTTCTTTATTTGGGAAGCTTCCAAAAATCGTATACTTACCATAAATAATCTCATGAAAAGAGGTATTATCCTAACAAACAGATGCTACTTGTGCAAGAATAATTTAGAATCTTGTAACCATCTCTTGCTTTGGTGTCCCAACACATATTCTCTATGGTCCATGGTCTACTGTTTACTTGGCATCCATTGGGTCATGGCTGTAACCGTCGAAGATGAATTGCTTGTATGGGAAATGATAAGCAGAATGAACAAAAAATTCAAACTCATCTCTCTTACCATTTTCTGAGTTATTTGGAAAGAAAGAAACAATAGAGCTTTTGAAGAGAAAAAAGACAACTTTAGCAATATTTTGAACAAATGGTTCCATATTTTTTGTTATATAATACTAGAACATAGCATCACCCATCATGATGATTTAGGGTCAATTGTAGATATGTTAATTGACTTGTAAATCTTTTTGTACATGGGTTGGCGCCTCCTCGGCGACCTATTTCAATATATTACTACACTTTTATCTAAAAAAAAAAGTAAAATAAATATTATTATAGGAGGTGAAACAAAAGTTCAAGAATAGAGGATAAGACATTCTGTTAAAAACCTCCTAGAATGAACGGAAGGAAACCAAAGCAAAAGAAAAACTCATTACAAAGTAGCACTTGAATTCTTTTATTACAAAAATAAAGAGATATTTTGATGCAGAACCAACAAAGGAGAACAATGATTTTGGGAAATTTTACATTGAATGGAATAGGAAATGTTAATTTCCTTTTTCTTTTCACTAAAGAGAATAGAAATTTTTAATTTCCTTTCATAGTAGAAATAAAGTTCTGGAAAGTTTTATAATTAAAAGAAATAGGAAGACTTTCTAATTTCCAGTTCCTTCCATTTAATTTATTTTCCTATTTTTAGGATTCTTTGTTTACAACAGAAGGAAATAGGAAGATTTCCTAGTTTTCTTCTATTTAACTCATTTTCCTATTTTACTAGGTTTTCTAGATTTTTTCTATTTTTTGATATATTTTGGGTGCCTATAAAAAAATTATCCTAACTTTACTAATAAGGTAAACAACTCCATGGATTTCCCCCCGTTGAAAAAATTTTTCCGGAATTATTTGAATTTCCAGAATCTTTTA